GTTCTGCTGCATCATTGAAAGTGACAGCACCTTGTGTTAGAGAAGGCCTCTCATTCATCATCTGGAAATACAAAATTATTATAAAATCTTTATACCCTGAGAAAATATTTGTGTATTTATTGACCCAGAAATTCTACTCCTAGAAATTTATCCTATGCAAAAAATTAGGGACAAACAAAAATTCACCTGCAGGAATGTCCATTACATTGATCATAACAGTAGGGCTGGAGGTATGGCTCAAGTGGTAGAGTATTTGCCTAGCAATCATAAGGCCCTGAGTTCAAACCCCAGTACTGCCAGCCCCTCTGCGAAAAAAAAATTTAAAAACAAAAATTGAAAGATGAAATATTCATCTATGAGGAGGAGGAATTGTGATAGATACACATAATAGAATACTATGGGCAACCACTGAATATGTTGCAGAAAAGTTGTTACATTGAAAGATTTACATGACAAGTCATTGGACCCCAAATTAAGAGTGCATCTCACTCCATTGAAAAAAAAGACATATAAGCATAGTGGTGGGGAGACACTTTAGAAAGACATATACCAAAATACTATCCCTGTGTGATGGAATTGGGAGTGATTTTTATTTAATACTTTTACAAAACTAACTTCTAATTTTCTTATAATAGCCTTGTATATTTGCATATTAGGGGAAAAAAACACACTAAAGCTATTGAAAAAAGAATGGAAAGATTCCTTACATTTTTTCTCACTAGTAACGTGAGAATAAGTAACAGAGTTCTTTGAGATCTGGAAAACTATTTAAGAATAATGCCATTAGTATTCATATGTATAATCCTAGCACTTGGAGACTGATCCAGGAGGGTCATGAGTTTGAGGCTACACAGTGAGACCCTGTCTCAAAATATACCCATGTATATGTATCATACATGTACACATTTAACATACATATATACACATACATGAATCTAGTGAGAGAGAAACAAAATTGTATTTGTCTGAGGGGACTACTGGAGGTGGTAGAGGGTAAGAAAATGTTAGAGAATGAGCAATATTGAAACCACCCATCTATATGAATATAATTTAATGTACTATACTGTAAGCTGTTGAATATTAGGGGAGCATGGTGATAGAGGAAATAGCAGGGAGGGGTTAATTTGATTAAAGCACGATGTGTGTGTATGTATATATATATGAGGCCTGAAATACCAAGGTGAACCCCCCCCAGGTCATCAAATATACACTTTTTTAAAAATGAAGGGTAGGAGAGAAAAATAGGTCTTTTCCAGGGGTGAATACCAGTGGAGGTGATGGGCATAGAAAGGGGAATGAGAGTGAATATAGTGGATTATTTTGTACCCATATATGAAAATAGAAAAATGGAATCTGTTGAAATTGTTTGAAGAAGGAGGGAAGGGAAGGAAGGAAAATGAAGGAGCGGGCAACTCTAACAGATATAATGTAAACATCACAATGTGTGCTCTTGTACAACTATTATATGCTAATAAATTTTTTTAAAAAGAAAAGGAGACTTCTTTTTGATTCAGGGATGTAGCTCAGTGTAGAGTGTTTGCCTCACATGTACATCCTCAGCACCGCAAAAAACAAAAAAAAAAATCAGGAATAATGACCATTAAGAGGGGTGGAGGAGGCAGGAGTGGTAGCTATAAATCCAAGCTGGTTTGCAGAAACTTGTGGATCTTCACTCAGCATTCTGCCATTACACACACATACATACCTTGTGTCTACCGCCTCCTTTGCATCACTGTGTCTCACTTCTTATTTCTGCCTCAAAGCTTCTTTTTTTTGATATTTTTATTATTAGCATATTATAATTGTATGGGGTACATTGTGACATCTACGTTAGTGCTTACAATATAGCTTAATTAGATTCACCCCCTCCATCTTTCTCCTTTCCCCTCCCTTCCCCTTCTTAGTCAACAGGTCTCATTCCATTTTCATACATGAGTACATATTCCACCATATTCACTCTCCTTCACCCTTTCCTTATAGCCTCCTCCTCCCAATGATACTCATCCCCAGACACAGGAACTGTTCTACCTTCCTGTCCTTTTAAAAAAGACATTTTTGTTAGTTTATGGAAGTTATATAGGGAGTTTCATTGTGATATTTCCATAAATGCATGTCTTATGCCCTAAATTGATTCATCCCTTCCGTTATTTTCCTTTCTACCCCAGTTCCCTTATGGCAAATGTTCCATAGCTATACCAGTATAGAAAGTATATCAACCGTATTCACCCTCTTTACTTTCATTTACCCTCCCCCTCCCAGTAGTATCCTCTGATTAACATGACCTGCTTTATGTTTCCGTCCTTGCTTCAAAGCTTATGTTCATTTATAAGGTAGGCTCTTTATGTTTCAGGGCTCAAATCTGAGATAGCAAAAAAGTGGGATATTGTCTCTAAAAAGCTTTAGGAGCCTTCCACATCGGTGCTGTTTGTAGAGGTCCAGTGGTCTTCAGCACGCCAGGACAGCCCCTCCAAAGGAAAGGGCAAGTTGTTCCACTTAACACCCTCTCCTAAAAAAGCATCACAGCTCCTTATGGGTCTCTGTGGACCCACATGCCCTATATGGGAAAACTGTTCTGATACATTTGTGGGGTGATTCATAAAGCTGCTGATTTTTTTTGTTTGTTTTTATGGGTACTGGGGTTCACTCAGGGCCTCACACTTGGAAAGCAGGCACTCCACCACTTGTGCCATACCCCTAATCCCAAACTGCTGGTTTTGAATGGAGCCCAAGACCACAAGGCAACCAGCTTCCACTTGGGTCATATAACACAACTGAGCCAATACTCTAGGTATCTGTGGTAGGTAAGGATGTTCCTTGGGGCCTCATGCAGGACCATGGCAATGCATAGTTGCAGTACAGACTCCTAAGGTTCTGAATCAAGGCCATACGTTCTGCAGCAGAGAGCAATTTCACCATTCCAAAAGAGCTGGGTGTCTAACGTGAGACCAAGTGTTCAGCCAGAGCTACCCATGATGATATGCACTATGCCAGGACTGAGTCACATGGGCAGGCTGACCTAGGAGCTCTAGGGCACAAGTAGATACAGCTAAACCTACTAAAGGCCAAGTATCAGCATGGAGAAATCTTAAAGGGTTGTGGCACAGAGCTGACTACGTTGAGGATAAGGTGCAATGAACCAATGACCAAAGATACAGGGCTTTGCCCCATAAATTAGACTTGAGTCTGAGAACTAAAAGTGGGATTGGGACCTTTTGCCACCCCAGTGACTACCTGGTGGAATGTGTGCTTTCCCTCTCTGAAAATTTAGGATATAAGAAGTTCTGACTCACTGTGGGACATGAAGAAAATTCTTTCACTACGCAAACACAATAATCCAAAACTGTGACCATCTTTAGTCATTTGGGGCTTCTTGTACTTGGGAAACAGCAGACCAAAAATTTTGGCATTGGCAGCAATGATGCAGAGCTGAGGATTTATTGGAGTATCTCAGTGCTTCCATGTCCCAATTACTACTGGACACAGGCCTGATGAGATTTGAGCAACTAAGGTTCTGATCTTGGTGACTCTTATCAGGCAAGCACATGCTAGCATGATGGCCAAGGAATATCTAGAAGGGATGGTTGAGGAAAATGTTGACTGTAATGGCCTCCAGGTCAGTTACAACAGGGTGGGCTATAGCTTGTTCCACTAACCCTCCTGTACTGAGTGCTTTCTAGATTTTACGTAGTCATCACCTTGGACATGTTACAGATTGAACTTAATGTGTGCACAAATTCAAGTAGTATGGAATGGATCAAGAAGTCATATACCTCTTGTGCCTTCCTCACATCCTTTTGGCCCATCTTTTTACTATCACTGCTACCATTATCACTTGCTTGCAGGTGTGAGCTGACAATACTTCACCTCAGATACTTGGCACATTACTCGCTTTCTGCCCTAAGCTCCTCCCTCCTCCATGTATGATGCCATTCTGAGCTATGTTCATACTGAAGTACACAGCAATTACATGGGGTAACTCTTGACCAATAGAGACAGGGTGAGTATTTGCTTTTTTTCATGTCTGGAGGGAAAACTATGTACATTCTATAGGACTCCTCACAAGGTCCCTCATGGGAGCCCATTCCTCTCAGAGGCAGTAAGTCAAGAGCAGACACTTGAGGGGCCTTCCCTGTTTCACTTTTCCGTCTTCCACTCCTTTTCTTTCAGATCCTAATATAAACTACCTGTACCCAAGCCTTTCTCTCAGGCTCTGCTTTTTGGGATAACAAAGGCTAATACCAGGATTAAAAGAGAATACTAGTCCATATTCTTTTAAAATTAAAACTAATATACTCATGTAAATATTAAAACTAATGTACCCTAGAGAACATGCTGTTCACCTACAAGTTTTTTGCATTTGTGGATAAAATTATCAACACACTCTTTCAAGACTGAACCACAAAGCTGTCAGTTTTACTGACACCTTTCATTTTTATCTTCATGAATTTATGAGGTAGTAGGCATTACTCTCTCCACATTAGAGAGGAAATGGAGCTTGAGATTCTAACTGCTAAATCTGAGCTAGTCTTTAGCCCAGATCTGACCTCCAAAGCCCATGCTCGTAGCCATTATACTTCTGTTCCTCAGCATGACCTTCACCCTCTGTTTTCTTACTCCACAGAGGCCTCCAAGCCAGACACATCCAACATGCCTTGCCCTTTCAGGTTCCAGTTTGACCTGTCAGCCTTGTGAATTTCAGAGGCTAAATCATAAATACCATCGCCTTAAAACTTCTCAAACAGAACTGCTTCCTCATCAGTATTGGCATAATCTTCCTGAACCTGTTGTATTTTTCACATTGTTACTCTCCTACTGTGTTTACCAATGTGCCTATGGCCAGACAAGACCTTAAGTACTAAATAGTACCAGATGCATAATAAGCACTCAAATAATACTTGCTCAATAAAGTTAAGAGTGTGTGCACACTAAGTCTGTCTCACCAACTTATATCTTCAGCAAATAAGACAATACTTGGCTCAGTTAACATGCATTTGTTGAATGACTGATTTAATGAATAAACAATTTTTTTTTTCATTAAACTGTGAGCTCTTAGAAAAAAGGGACTCAACAATATCCAGCAAATGTTGACCATTATTCTGATGGTAGTGATTCCAAATACAGGCCACTTCTGCACCTCTGTTGTTAGGGTACTGGTAAGTTTTAACGCTGAATTAAAGTAATGAAAGTAAGAGAAACTTTTAGTGATTAATAGAAGATTTATTCAGGCAAGAACACAGTCATCCTTGCCAGACTTAATATGAGATAGAAAGTGTTCGGTCCAATTTTCCTTCCTGGATAAGTTTTTCCTTTCTCTCCTGTATAGACACAAAGAAAGTATATTAAAAACAATGCATTCTGGCATAACCCACAATATCAGTCTGAAAAATCATAATACAACATTTCAAACTCAACTATAATCCCATCATCTAAAGCCCGAGAAATATGAGGAAGTAGTTCATCTGAAGACAGTAAAATGCTTCTGTTCAAAAATATCTTACCCATATTTTAATAATTAGTAATAAATTACTGCACTAAATAGCAGACAGTTGGAAGCAAAATACAAACACCTTCTGAACAAGGGCAACCAATTTATCAGATAATCAAAGATGAGGGATCTGATAGAAGAGTGGATTGGCCAGTTTTAAGACAAAGGTAGATGAGTAAGCTCTAGTCTAGAGGGCAGCATAAGACCTGGGGGGTGTGACTGGAGGTCTAGAGCCAAAAGTGGAGTAGTCTCATCAGAGAGAAGCTTGGCTTTCTCTGTAACCATACTCCCAAGCCTCTGGCAGCAGTGACTCCCAGGTTGCTTTTGCTTCTCTGCCACTTATATTAGTATGTTTTAACATTAATTCACAAAATGTGACAAACATAACTAGAATTCATCCAAAGAGGAACGCTAAATGGTTTATGTATTCTGCAAACACCTGACCCAATAATTATCTCTTTTCAATACAAATGAACAAAACTAAAAATTTTGAAATATTTTATCTTAAGGTTAATCATAATAGAAAAACTGTAGCTTCTTTTTTTGTTTCTTTTTGCAGTTCTGGGGCTTGAACTCAGGGCCTCCCACTTGCCAGGAAGCGTGTTCTACCACTTGAGCCACTCAGCCAGCCCAAAAGTTTAGTTTCTATACCATCTTTTGAGATAAAAAGTAACCTTATTCTTTTGCTTAGAAATCACAATATAATTTCCTTATATTATTAAAAACACATCTGGAAAACTCTTCCATGAACTAAGCTCTAGTCTTAGATTTTTAAGCTGATTGTTTTATTACTTTAAAATGTAGAGCAGCCATTAAATTAAATGTGAAAGACCCAAAGGCTACAGGATTTATATTTCTATACAAATTGAAACAATACAGTAAAACCAAACATATAACTGAAGAACTTTCTGTATTAACTCTGGCAAGAAATAAAGACAAAGAAGAAAAAAAGGGAAGGAAGAGTTTAGGGTTAAGGTGGGAGGGGCACTGGTGGCCATCACCAAAAGAAAGACCTGCAGCTGGCACCTAAGGGGGATCTATCACACCAATGCTAAACATCAGGTCCTAATACTTACCCTATCAGTTTTGAAAACATAATACAAAAAGACAAGGGGTCCAATTCCAAACAAAACCCCCAGGAGTGAGTTCTTGGGAGTGGGTCTGAAATTCGGATAGATGTTTGCTGATCTTGCATAGGTCCAACGAATCAAGGCAGGATCTTCCTAAAATTAAAGAAAACAAAAAGCTGCAGAACTTAAGAAGGCATATATTAAGAAACAAATTCATCAGAACTTTTATGAAGGAGCCAGGAGATGCCTTTTGTTCTCTACAACTGAATATTTCTAGTTTCAGGGAAAATCTCTCCTTTTTAGTATTCTTAACAATAATTCTGATAATCCTGTTCAAATCCTTCAGAATTTTAAAGATTCTTTTGTCACCCCTTAGCTTTTTATTTAGAGCTTAAGAACTCTAATCTTTTTTTTAATTTTCCAAGTTGTTTTAACAACTTAATTCACATCATTTTAATTTTTTTTTTGGTGGTACTGGATTTGAACTCAGGGCTCATGCATGCTAGGCAGGCACTCTACCACTTGAGCCACTCCACCAGCCCAATTCACATCATTTTAAAGATGGTTTCTAGTTGCCTCATTTTCTATGCAAAATACAGTTATCATTTGTCCTTTGCAGTTTTGTTCCAGTTAAGTGGTATCTCATTATGATTTTTATTCACATTTTCCTGGTAACTTCATGCACCTTTTATTGGCCATTTAAATGTCCCCTTTAGTCATGCACCTTCAACATTATTTCCTGTTTCCATTTAAAAATCCTAATCTTTTAAAGGTCAGAAAAGCCACATTTTCTCCTTTATCATTTTTATCTATTCCTTCTCTAGATGCCTACTTTCCTTATCGTTCAACTGTACCATCTAACCACACAGCACACCAATGAAGAGACAACATATTTTATATTCTCTACTAAGCTTGTATTTATTTCTAGGACCCTTTTTAATGCTATCCCAGCATTGGTTGATGCAGGCTACAAGTAAGCTGCAGATGTGCTAACTCTGAACTGTAAGTTTTTGTTTTGGTGCTGGGCATTAAACCCATAGCCTTGTTTATGCATGCAAGGCATGCCCTCTACCATTGAGCTCTTCCCCTACCCCTGAACTGTAAATTTTAAAAGCTGACTTGGCCAGTATTTTAAAAGCAAAATTAGCACATTTCACACTATTAAAAGTTTTGTAGAAAGGTCAAAGTTGTTAAAAACAATCAGCTTATCTTGGTTAAGAAAAAAAATTTGCCAATATGCTAGAATAACTTTCTAAGAAAGCAAAAGTGTATACCAAACACACAATTAAATTTAGTTAACTAAATCCCCAAATGACTTTATAAAATTCTCCAAATAACTGATAAATTAAATAATAAGCAAATAAGGTCCACTTTACACTTTAATATACAGCATGAACATTCAACATCCTAACCAACATCAAAAAGTCATGACCCGGTAGGATTAAAATAATTTAACTAGGCCTTCAATAGTTACATTTCAAACCAAAAAATTATAACCATTTTACCTTCATTGAGTCAAGGTGTGAGCATTCACTACAGACTCAAAGTATGGAACTTCTGCAGCTCTAGAAACTATTATCACACCACATACACCATATAACCTCTCTAAACCTTAATATCTGCCAGATATGTCTTCTAGAAACAGACATTTCATTTAATTAAAATGCCAACAGCCCTATGACTATGGTTCATTAAATGTAGTACTGTTAAGAGAAATTAAGAGATGTTCCAACGGACTACCCTAAAAAAGTTTTCCTTCTATGATACCACTCAATGTCCAACCAACTAACAAAAGCATTTGACATGGAGAATAGTCCTTGAAATAGTTTCTTTGTTTGACCTTCTGATCCTACAATTGCTTGTTTTTCTAATTCTCTGGCCATTCTCTCTTTATCTCTTTTGCCTTTTCTATCTCTTCCATTTCTTAATATTGGAGCGGAGACCCTTGCTGGTCTTTACTATGTACATTCACTCCATTCATGATGTCATCAAGTCACATGACTTCAAATATCTATCTATGAGATGATAGACAACCTCTATCCCTAGAGGTATAATTCTTCCCTATCTTAGGAAAAAGCAACTTCATTCTTCCAATTGCTTAGGTCAACAACTCTGAAGTCACCATTGATTTTTCTTTCTCTTATACACCATATGCATCTGCCAGAAACCTGGATGGCTCTACTTTTAAGAGTCCAGAACTGACCCCTTCACACCAACTCCACTGTCACCACCCACAGTAGCAAACTATCAAGGATTCAATTGCTTGTAAAAGCCTCTAACTCATTTCTCTTCTTCCCTTGCTCCCCCACGTTTAATTCTCAAGTAACAACTAAAGAGGTCTTGCTAACATTAATACAGATTATGTGACTCCCTTCCCAGGAAAAGTCTTACAATGACCTACAAGGCCTGTTGTAATCAGTCCCCTTTCCGACTTCATTTTTTCCACTCTGCTCTCACCTTCTCTACCTTAGCCACATTGATCTCTTCTGTTTGCTTTGTTGGGTTTTTTGTTACTGTTGTTTAAAAGCTGTTTTATACCTTTCGGTTCACATATATACATATATAATAGATGTGTCTTTCTGCACCTTCTTCCAAGTAACAAAGTTCTGGTTGAAGACAGTACAGACAACTAAGTAAAAGATGCTGGGGGTTATACAGACCAGGTCTCAAATACATCTCTATGACTTGCTAGTGGATACATCTGCATTAAGCTATCTGTTCTTCCATTAATCTTCTTATCTACAAAATGAGAATAAT